GTCCTTTGCAACTCTAGGAAGAGAAGACGCCTCTGTCCACACCTAATTTTGTTTAAGCAACTTTAAGAGCGCACAGTTCCTCAGCTCTGCACCCACCTTCCCTTCCCCACCCATCATGGACACACACTGTTGATGCTTGTCAACCTTTGCAGCTCGAATGAGCTAATGGTGAGATGCGTACATTCCACTTTTCCTGGTATTAGTATTTTAATGGAGCTGAGAACTTCACATCTGCTAAGAGACATCCATTGTACATCTTGGGTTATGAGTTTGGGAACCTGTATAGATCTGTAACATGATTCTGTAGACCTGTCCTATAGATTGGCAGGGACCAATTTTCTTGGTATACATCTCGTACAATTTCTTCTGAAGAGCTTCCTTTTCTTCTACTTGAAAACATCCAGTGCTCCAGCAGTGAGGAGTTCCTCTCTGGGGCTGTGGATGCTCCTCAGCCCTGTCAGCAGACCATCACGGCCTCTGGGATCACTCCTTTCTATGCAATAACAGGACTCCAGGCTCATCTTTGTTCCATCAGAGGAACAAATGACGGAGAGGGGTAGAAATTTTTATTTAATCTGACCCTGTTCAGTGTATTTTGGATAACTCCTCCCTCTTCCCGCAGCTCTCTGGAATTCCCCAGATGGGGATGAGCTTTGATAATTTGTCCTATAATGGGGAACAGCTTCAAAGCAGGGCTGTGTGGGAATGGTGTGGGTGAAGTATAAGCTCAGTATGGAAATTGGGATCTTCTCTCTGTTCCTCTTGCCTCAATTCCTACCCATCGTTTATCACCTTTTTTCCCTTGCGAGCTTCTCCAGAGTCCACGCAGAGATTTGGGTTTCAGCTTGAGTATCCTCAAGGTGTCATTTTATGCCTCTGGGTAAGGTGCAAGAGGTCCTGTCACTTGGCTTTTCTAAGATAGTCTTCCAAGGGTTTGTCTAAGGAAGGTGACTTCGAGACCTACATTCTTCATTGAGGAATACTGAGATGGTTGTTTCCCCAAATACAAAATCTTGTTCCTGACTGATGCAACCGCAAGTGGATTGTCCAGGTTCCCCTCACCAGGAGCTGCTGTAACCTCGATCCCGCAGGTCTGCCATCATGAATTCTGGTGGTGGTGTGTAATTTAGAGAAAATCTTACCCTCAAAATAGTGTTTTTGAGGAATGAAGTCGCCAGCTGTGTTTATTTGAACCGCATAGTACGTGTAAGACTGTCCCTCTGTGCAGAGCCGTCTACAGTATACAAAAAGAGATTCCCCCGTTCTGTATAATTAATTTACAGTGGATGTCTCTTTTCTGGTGTGCGTTTGAACTCTTTATTCTTTGTTCATTGTAAAGGGCTTAACGGTTCCTGTTCCTTGATTCTTTCATCGGTGAAATGTTTTGGAAGAGAGGTTAGAGTCCCCCTGTGACCTGCCCTGGGTGGCCCAAGCCTGTAGACCTTGCAAAGACATTACTTTTTTGGCCTGAACACAAGTCTCTCAAACCTTTACCCTGGCTAAATGCTTTGTACAAACAGCCGCATACTGATCTGCTCTATTCTCTTGTGATTTTCTGCTCAAGGGGCTGTACTGTAGGTGGCTTGCTATGTTTGCCACTTGCCTTGGTAGTGGAGACAGTACAATAAACGAATCCGACAGTACTGAGGCCAGCACTGTGCTTGGTTGTTCCGAGAAAATTATCCTGAAATCTGGTTGAAGAGATTAAAACCAAGAAGAACTGGCTGTGTCTTTCCTCTAAAGCGCTGTTCTCTTCTTTGTTTCTTTTTTTCTTTAAGACTTTGTTCATTCCTCCTTCAAAATAAGTTTGTGGCATTGGTATGTAAAATGTGACCTACGATTACAGAAGGTACGGCTATTTTTATAACAACCGTGGGGTGAAGCACTGCATTCATTCCTCTTCGGGCTCCTTACAGCCAAGTGCTGTAGCAGCTTTCTTCTAGCGTCTGAGCCGTATTCTTGCTCTCATTTCTTCTTTAATACAAATAATATGATCTCATACGCCATTTCACTTCTTGAATGTCAAGTGCATTGTTAATGCAGTAGAGACTCCAATCTGTTCTTTTGATGAGAATTGCTGTTCAAGCCAATGTTGGTTCAATGTGCTACCGTTGTTGTAATGCGCAGTGTTAACGGGCAGTGTCACTCCCTAACTCTCCCGGCCTTCCTCCCATACTTAGTAAGAGACGGCTGAAGGTGAGCTGCTAACTAGCAACCATGGCTTGGGATGAAATCTGTCTTGGGTTGCTCATGAGCGGATGACAGTAGTGAAGAATTCATGAGTCTTGTGAAAACATTCAAGACCCAGTCACAGGCATTTTCTCATGAGGATTTGAAGTTCATGCTTTCGGGAAGATCTTAAATTTCACAACTCCATGTGTGTGCTTCTAAATAGATTCCTAGCAGCTGCGAAGCCCTTAAATCCAAAATAGAAATTTTCTTTCATTGCAGTCCTTTCAGGGTTTCTGTTTTCCAGTGTTTCTCCAAATATAATTAATAACATGACGTGACCCCATCCTTAGAGAGTAGGACGTAGCGGTTCAGCCAGTTTGTTGGGTACCGCAACCCAGGGACGTCTGCGACACTGAGCCGCCCAGGGCAGTTTCATCCCTCGAGAAGATTAAACGCTATTTCTCGCATCTCAAAGTTTTTAGCTTCTTAGGTACGTGCTTTTCCAAAGTGGGGGTGTTTTAGGATTGATGTGGCTTTCGGGATAATTTTTCCAGATGAGACAGTGGGGTGTACAGCGAATGTGTAAAGATGATTTATCGCTTGCAGATCAGAGTCAGAAAGCTTGTGTTAGTCCTCCCTTGCGTGTGTGTGCTGGCACAGGCAAGCTACAGTCAAATTTTATAGCAAATGTACATTAAAATGCCTTTACAGTTAGAAGTAATTAAAACAGTTTTTGAGGGTTAAATATAAACTCTCTTTGGACTATTTGCAGCCTGAATATTGCAGCATTGGTCAGTGAAACTGGCTGGAAGCTGAGCAGTTCCTATCTCTGCCCAGTCCCGTCCTGTGCAAAAGTGGCAAAGTCCATAGGCACAACGATGGATGGTTTCTCCTGGCTTTGACTTACGCTTTTCCAAAATCTAAATGTGAACAGTCACGTATATACTTTCTTTTTATTTATTAGTTGTTTCTAGTAATAACGTTGGATAAAAGTAATGGTTTTACAGCCGTGTTTGCTGTTGTCCTGCAGCAGTTGTCACTTGAGTGATCGTTTCAATCTTGGAGGTCTTCTGGCATCTGAAAAATATTAAAAAGCAGAGCCATGGATGTCTGAAAACTGGCCACTGTGCCCCTGGAGGTGCCTGTGTCCGTACTGAAGGATGTTCTCCATCCCAAGATTTTAATGGAAGGTGGAGCAAGAAAGCTGACAAATTAACCCCTCTCTGGTTTCCAGAAATAAGGCATTGAGGAACAGGGCTGAATCCCGATGTCTAATTCATTAGTCTGTTGTCATTAGAGCCACGGGGACTGCTCATATGACTGGGCTGCTATAAGACCACCTTAAAAATAGGACTGTGATGACTTGTTTTCCTTCTTTTGTGGCATTTGCTTGAAAATGAGATAACTTTTAGAAGGAGAAGCATTCAAGGAGAAGACCATCTGGCATGAAATGACTCTGCTTAGCATTTAAGGACAGGACAGGCTTTGTCCTTTAGTACCTCTGTGCAGTCATGGAGGCAGAAGGCAAAATCCTCCTTCCTTATTGCTGAGCCATCCTTAGTCCTCAGCTTTGTGGAGCTGCAGGAGCTGTTTTGAGGGTTCTTGTATGGTAAAAACCAGAATAGTTGGGCGATAATGGGCCATACATAACTTAAAAATCTGTAGGTTGGTGTATATTTTCCCTCCCTTCTTCCTTTCTGCCATCACACTCGGTTGCACCTCAAGAAACCATTTCATTCCAGCGTGCAGCATCTTCAGTGTCTGCAGGAGCAAAAAAATTTAGCTGAAGGCAGAAGCTCCCTCTTGAGTCTTTCATGATGTTGAGTTGTGGCTTCACAAACTAGATCCCCTCGGTGATGAAAAGTTGCACGGAGAGCAGAGATAAAGCCGTTACTTGTGTAGCTAAAGAGGGTGAAAATTAAGTGAAGTTGGGCAAAATCAACCTCAGGCGTGTCTTCAAAAGACACACTTGAATGTGTGCAGTTGTTGGCTTCACGAGCGCTACCAAGTAAAAGCTGTTAAATGACATGGAAGAGCTAAGGTCCTCTAACGTGGATTCATTCAAGTCCCCCTCAGTGGTTTTAGACTTGGTTTAAATAATGGATTAGGAGAAAAAGAAATTATTTAAGTCTGAAATTCTGGCCGGATTACACTGGAAGGAGATAAATGTGGCCTTGGAAATACTGTCTTCGCTTTAGAAGCCAATGTTATTCAGTTGTCAGATGTCTTCATCCAACATAAATAAATACGCCACATAACGGCTGCGATTCTTCCCATTTGGGGTGACTGTACACTGGCAATAGCGCGCCATACCAGATAATGCAAATAATCAGCTGCCGAATAATTAATGATGCGGCTGGGCATATTTTTTTGATGGATGCTTATGGAGCCTGGTGACAGGCGTGAAATTAGAAAATTCCTTCAGCGCCCTAAAATATAAATAGCTTTCGGAACTGAAAAGAGTTGCACAGCTGAAGATTTTATTGTGTTGAGAGGAAAAACTTTTCCACCCCCATCCCCCCCTTTCTTCTCGGCGAGTTGTTTGTCCATTCACAAAACAAATACTCTGAAGCCCAGTACGGCTCATGGGAATAAATTTCAGGTCGAATTAGTACAGTTTCCTTGCTGTCAGGACGGTGGAATTAATGGTGTTTTGATGACATGAATTTTGAAGGGCGAACAAAGACGCTGAAGGGAGGGAGACATGACTCCTTAGAAGCGCGGTCCTCCTCTCCCCCAGCCTCTCTTGTCTTCCCTGTCATCCGTCTGCCAATCTCCCTGTCCATGGTTAGTTAAAGGCGCTTTTTATCCTCTTTTCTTTCCCACAGAGTTTGCCAGATCCGGCCCAGTGCCTGGGTTCCAAGGGGACACGCTGCAGTTGGCCTTCATCGACTTGAGACAAGTAAGTCTTTGTGTTTTTGTTTTTTGTTTTTCTTTTAAGATGTGTGACTGAAGACCATCAGGTCTTAAGGAAAGGGAGAGGAGGGGAAACGGCGTCGGTGATTTACGCCAGAGACCTATATTTCCTCCCCCCCCCTTCTCCTTGCGCTCGAAGCCACCTCCTTATTGAGCGCTCCGGGGTCCTGGAGATGGTGGAGGTGAAAAGGGCTGGTGGTACGGGGGCGAGAAAGAAAGCCATGCCTGACCCTGGCTGATGGGGTCCATTGTGCTCCCGTTGGCTTCTGCAGACGCGGCAAAAAGATAACTCGGCGACTCTCCCGGCTGACGCCAAGCAGGTGGTGCTAACAGAGAGAGCAGTGATGCAGAGACCGCCCGCCTCGAGGACTTTTGTTCACAGATAATGCCTGCAGAGGCGTTTTGCGAGGGCGAAGGAATTTGCATTCGGGCTTGTGTGGGGAGGGTATGAGTGTGTGTCCGTCTTTGGCTCGGCTCCCCCCTCCCCGGTCCCCTCTTCCGCAGATGGTCCCCAGCCATGAATGACAAAGTGGCTGTTGGGGAAGATGATTGGGGAAGGCTCCACCCATCGGTGCCCACCTCTCGAGGGGGCCCCGTTAGAGCCAAGTTGACCATAGCAGGTACTGAGGCATTTGTGGGGCTTGGCAAGCCAATTTAGGGAAAAGGGCCATTCTAGCGAGTCATTTGTTTGGGGTAGAAATGGGCATTATTGATATACTAGGCTGGGGGGAAAAAGTGAGGTGGTCCTGTCATCTCTTGGCACTGAAGATGGATGGGTTGGATAGAAAGTCTGAATGAAGTAAGACTCAATGACTGATGCTTCTCTCCTATTAAAACAATCTTTTTTTGTCTGTTAAACCCCCTTGGCTTTGTCCCTCCTGCCATCATGATGCAGTGCCTCTTGTTTTCAGGGTTGACGTAGTTTGCATTCTGAAAACTTTCGGGTGCCGAGGGTATTTCTTAAATCTGCATAATCCCTTGTATCGATGATCTTACCACTGGGACTCTGATTCATGCTGGAGCCGCTTTTAACCCATAAGGGTTTGAGAACTTGTCTGAACCCAATTTATGTGCATGGAGCAATCTGTCATCCCATGACACTTCTGCGGAGCAGCAATAAGTTTAATAACGTCGAGATGCTACGCATTCGCTTTTCAGACTTGGGCCTGCTGGTAACTGCCAAATTTGTTTGCAAAATGGTCAAAATAGCTACATGGGAAAGGTGTGCGTTATCACTGCTACGCGTTGACACTTTCATCTTCATTAGCTTCTTGACACTTTATTGACTGCAGTGCGCAACACGCTTGCAACCCCCTGGGTATAAGGAAATGTGGAGGCTTTGGTCCTTTTCCAAGCACGAAGACTTGAATGCAGGGATTTTGAAGAGGAAAGCTGTGGCTGTTTGAAGAATGAAATGCCTTAAAAATGCTCGGTGAAGTTCAGCTGGTCTGAGCCAGTGCATTAGCAGTGAAATGTTTGTACAGTTCATAAGTGCAAAGCGGAGCCAAATGAATTCAGCTTGGGTGAGGAGAAAGCTGAACAGTAGCCCTCTACAATTCTTCCTCCTCTGTCAAATGGTCGTCTTTGTACACGGCATTTTCTTCTTTGTTTTGGAAGGTAGTCCCAACTTTTTTTCTTGCATTTAAAAATAATAGCTTTTCTGAATGTTGCGAGGAGAAAGGGGAGATGCTCTGGCCTGTTGAGTTTCAGGTGAGGACAGGCAGTCCTAGATCATCTTCTGGATAACAGGGATGCTTGTTGATGCCAAGTATCGTGCAGATAATGGACAACATCTCATTGCTCCAAGTAGAGAAGAATCCACCTATCACTGGCTTATTGAGATTAGCAATAACGTGCAAAGATGAGATAGTTCCCAGCTCCCTTGATCCTGTCGATGACATAATCCCGTGACATGTAATGTGTCACCAAGCTCCATCTGTGTGAAGCTCCGTTGGCTGCTCTGGGGCCACCACAGCTCCAATGCTCCCTCCACCGTGGCGCTTCTTGTTGGACTGCGGCTCCAGCTGCAGGGCCTGGGAGCAGGGAAAAGCTGGAAGGGTGGATGGATGAAGGTACAGCAAAGAGAGGTCTTTAATTTGTTCTTCAACTTGTTTTTAATTTGTTCTTTTTGGACATTGCATTCTTTCTCTTTTAAGCCGCTAAATGTTAACACAGTATTGACTTAAAGCTATGAACGGGGAAAAATATACCACCTGAAAGTGTTTGTGTTTCTGGCTGTTTTCCTTTGCCCGGGAAGGAATGCCGGTGTAGCTGGTGAAAGGGTGTTTCCAACCTGAAATCCAGACAGGCTTCTCAAAACGTTAAAAGTAATTTCAGGTTTATATTTCAGGTAGGTTTATACTTACCTCGGAGCTGTCCTGTCAATTAGCGTGGCTTTACGTGAGCAGGCAGAAGCGGTCTGGCTTGGTTATGTAGGGAGGAAAAATGGCCGGGCAAAAAACGCACCAAGTAAGTAGGGAGATTAAAGAGATTTCCCCCTCCCTTCTCAATACATTTCAGTACTAGCTGTTACAGAGCAATGGTAGGTGAGAGAAAATTGTTAAAGTAATGTGGGATGATTAAGGGAATGACCAAAATTAATTCTTAGTACAATAAAATACAAAATGGTGGAAAAATGTAGTGATTTGGTTTGTGTCTTGTATACAGATCCTTGTAGTGGAAAACAAGCCCTATAAAAATGTCATTGTGTAGGAGCATCAGAGTTCCTCCTTGTTCAGTGCAGCAGACTCCAGTGTAAGACCCCTCTGTACATTGAAAGGCTGATTTTCCCCTTGCGGTCAAGGAAATTGGGAGCAATTCCATCACTGTTTGGTAAAGAGGAAAAGAGTCAAGCCCAGAGAATCAAAATTGCTATTCTGAGCAGACAGTAATTTAAGAAGGGACTTTTCTTCCCGTCCTGGGACAATTCTAAATCCATAAATACCTTTAATGAAGTGATAAAGTAAACCAAGTTGCATCTCAAATCCTTCTGTAAGAGCCCTTTTATAACAAGGGTCTGACAGCGATACTCATATTTAAGGCTTTACAAGGAAGCAATAGTTACTTTTTCCCCTTAAAGTTTAAACTTTGCTCTTACAAACTCAGTGCTATACGTTAGAAATCTGAAATAAATTTAGTTCCATAAATTACCTTGCTAAAATATGAAAGGCGCCTAAATAATTTAGTCTTCTGCATCTTTCTTTCAAAAGTGACTTGGGCGCTTCTGTCCAAATACCATTGAATGTCCAAATACCACTGAAGATCTCCAGGAGCTTTCAAATCAGCCCCAAGCCTGCACATGCAATAAGTTCACTGTTCTCTCCGCAGCTTCTGGCCAGCTGGAAATGTTTTAGCTTTTCATTTTCATGGGTTTATTATAAGAAAGTTAGTTGAAGAGGAAGGTTTTATGTTTGTCTGTGAAGTCGCTGCAATCCACAGCCATGCTGATCTCTCCTAGAAGCCAGATCGACACTCATGGCCGCCTGCCAAGGAAAATCTGTCTCCAGCGCTCGAAGAATTTCACTCTGGGCTCTAGTGAGGGAATGTCCTCGATGGATTAGAGCTCCTTACTCTAGGCCTCTCCATCTGTCCAGTGAATTATAAATCCTGTGTGTTGAATTTCCTCTGCAAGTGCAAACTTCAGCATCAAGGGAGATTTGGAGAAAGGCAGGCAGGAGCCCATCTTGTTGGAGGCACGTGGACGTGCAAGGGATGAGGACAGGGAGGTTCCACTCTTCTGCTCCATCATTTTTCTGTTTTACTTTATGGTTGTAACTTGGCGGTGGTTATGAATTTGAGCATCAGCTCTTCAAACCCCATCAGTGAGATTAAGACAGGCAAGCGCCGTTGTTGGGTGTGGAACAGCTTTTCTGCTTACCGCTTGTCGAATAGCAAGCATTTTGTGCGTCTTTTTACTGTGTTCGAAAGCCAGTTGTGGTTATTGTGGGTTCATGTTGGATGCCGGCCAGCTGGGTAATGAGAGGTCTCCTTCTGATGCATTAATTTTTCCCTATTACCTCTGATAGAGATGCTTAATAAAAGGGTGTTCCCCTCAGGAACACAATTCCCTCCCATCCCTGCTCTGTGCCCTGTTCTTCCCTTCATACAGGTTTCCTATCTCTTCTGCACTGTTTGCATAGTTACTGGAGGGTTGGGTTTTTTCATTTAGAAGATGAAATACAAAGTTAGGCAGGAGCTTTTAGCCGTATGAAATGTGCAGTTGTTCTGTCTTTGTCTCCATCTTAATTTCCCCACAGTGACTTCTGAACCTTCTGGCCTGTTTTGGCCGTATTTGGTTGGTGGGCTTCAAAAGTATAACAGCCCTTAAATATGAGCCAAGGTAGAGGAGAAAAGCTGCAGTGTGAACTCATCCCTTAGACTCAACCTTGAGAGAGACCCATGGGGAAACCTGGATTTCTTGGTTCTATGCTTGGTTTTAAGGAACCACCTGCTCCATTGTAGGGAACAGCAAACTGTGAGGTTACGTTGAGAGATACAGTAATGCTGGCATTCGTGGATATCCAGCTTAGCTTCTTATCAGAACATCAGATGGATAAATAAGGTTTTTAAAACTCCATCTGACTTGGTTGTTGGCTGCTTTAAAGGCACTTGGAGGCTTGGACCTGTGCAAGGTGAGCCTGTATCAAGTGAGATGTAGCCCTGTCTCCTACTGCTACCATGTGGTCCAGGGCTTCCATACGCAGCCCTGGGCATGGTGGCCGAGGGGAAGCCCTTGCAAATTTGGGCTGAAGGGCCAAGGCCCCATAGGTCTGTGCCTTGACATGACACTGCAGGGCTCTGGCCACCTCTCTACTCTGTGATCTGAGGCAATTCGATGGTAGGAAGGTGGAGACAGTCCCTCCAAGAGCTCTGAGGCAACATCCAGGACAGCATGCAGGTTCGTTCCCACCAGGCAGGAAGCCCTGGCTTGTTTTTTTTAACTTGTTTTTATCTTTTGCAGTTAAATGTGGTTTCCCTGCCCTGCAA